ATGCTACACATCTATGATCATCCGATCTTCAACAAAACTGATAAAAACAAGCAATGAGGAAAAGAATCCTATTCAGTAAATGGTGCTAGAATAACTGGCTAGCCATATGCAGAAGATTGAAGCTGGACCCCTTCTTTATGTCATATACAAACATCAACTTAAGATAGATTAAAGACTTAAATGTAAAACTAAAAATTATAAAAACCACAGAAGACAACCTAGGCACTACCATCCTGGACACTGGAGAAGGCAAAGATTTCATGACAAAGACACCAAAAGCAATTGCAACAAAAGCAATAACTGGCAAGTAGGATTTAGTTAAACTTAGGAGCTCCCGCACAGCAAAAGAAACTACCAACAGAGTGAAAAGACAACTTACAGAATGAAAAAAAATATTTGCAAACCATGCATCTGACAAAGGTCTACTATCCAGTATCTGTAAGGAACTTAAACAAATTTACAAGAGAAAAACAAACAGCTCAATTAAAAAGTGGGAAAGGACATTACTTCTCAAAAGAAGCATACATGTAGCTAACAAGCATATGAAAAAAAGGCTCAATATCACTAAGTTTTTAGAGAAATGCAAGTCAAAGTCACAATGAGATATCATCTCACACCAGCCAGAGAATGGGTATAATAAAAAAGCCAAAAAATAATAGATGCTGGCAAGGTTGTGGAGAAAAGGGAACATTTACACACTGTTGGTGGGAGTGACGGGAATGTAAATTAGTTCAAGCATTGTGGAAAGCAGTATGGTGATTCCTTAAAGAGCTAAAAAAAAAAGAACTACCGTTAGACTCAGAAATCCCATTACTGGGTGTATACCCAGAGGAATATAAATCACTCTACCATAAAGACACATGCAGAGGAATGTGTCTCTGCACATTCACAATAGGAAAAACATGGAATTAACCTAAATGTCCATCAATGACAGATTGGATAAAGAAAATGTCATACATATACAACATGGAATACTGTGCAGCCATAAAAATGAATGAGATTATGACCTTTGCAGGAACATGAATTGAACTTGAGGCCATTATCCTTAGTAAACTAATGGAGGAACAGAAAATCAAATACCACATGTTTTTGTTTATAAATTGGGAGCTATGTGGTAAGAGCTTATGAACACAAAGAAGAAAACAACAGATACTGGGGTCTACTTGAGTGTGGAGGGTGGGAGGAAGAAGAGGAGCAGAAAAGATATTAGGTACTGGCATTCATATCTGGATGATGATATATGTACAATAAACCCCTGTGATACGTGTTTATTCATGTAAGAAACCTTTACATGTACTCCCAAATCTAACATAAAATTTAACCTGGGGGAAAGAAAAGAGAATTGTCTAGCCATGACTTTTCCCACCTTTTAGTGAAATAATAATAATAAAATTGATGTGTTGCTTCAGTTTCTTGTATATCCTGGATTAGTCTCTTGTTGGATGAATAGTTGGCAAATATTTTCTCCCACTTAACAGGTTCTTTCTTCTGTTGATTATTTATTTTGTGGCATGGGAGATTTTTAGTTTAATATATTCCCATTTGCCTATTTCTATTTTAGTTGTCTGTGCTTTTGAGGTCAAAGTCATAAAATATTTGCTTAGACTATTGTTGTCAAGTAGTTCCCCTGTGTTTTCTTTCAGAATTTTTATAATTTAAGGTCTTACATTTATGTCTTTAATTTCACCTTCAGTTGATTTGTGAACATGTTAAGAGATAATGTCCAGTTTCATTCTTCTGCATATTGCTATTTGGTTTTTAAGAGAGTGTCCTTTTGCCAGTGTATATTCTTAGTGCTTTTGTCAAAAATCAGTTGTCTGTACATAAGTAGACTCCCTTCTGAGTTTTTCTATTCTGTTCCATTGGTCAATGTGTATATTTTTATTCCAATACCATGCTGTTTTGATTATTATACTCTTGTAATACATTTTCAAGTCAGGCAGTGTGATACCTCCAGTTTTGTTTGTTTTGCTCACAATTGCTTTAGCTATGCTGGCTCTTTTTTAGTTTCACGCAAATTTAGAATTATTTCTTCCATTTTTGTGAAAAACGTTAATGGTATTTTGATAGGAATTGCACCAAATTCATACATTGCTTTGGGCAGTATGGTCATTTTAACAGGATTAATTCTTCTAGTCTGTGAGAATGAGATGTCTTTCCATTTATTTGTCATTCATCAGTAATGCTCAACATCACTAATCATCAAGAAAATACAAATAAAAACCACAATAAGATATCATCTTACACAATTTAAAATGACTACTATTAAAAAGTAAAATAAAATAAATAACAGTTGATGATAAGGACGTGGAGAAAACAGAACTCATACTCTGTTGGTGGGAATGTAAAGTAGTAGAACCATTGTAGAAAACAGTATGGAGATTTTTCAAAAAACTAAAAATAAATTCATCAACCTCACTACTTGGTATCTATACAAAAGCATAGAAATCAGTATATCACAGGAATACCTACTCTTGTATATTTATTGCATCACAATTCACAATAGCAAAGATACACAATCAACCTAAGTGTTCATCAGTGGATGAATGGATAAAGAAAATGTGGTACATACACACAATGGAATAGCATTTGCCAATTAAGAAGAAAATCATGTCATTTGCAGAAAGTTATATGGAACGGGAGGTTATTATGTTAAGTGAAATAACTCAGGCAGAGAAAGACAAATATTGCATGTTCTCCCTCATACGTGGGAGCTGAAAAAGCTTACTCATAAACACAGAAAGAAGAATGATAGATACTAGAGGCTGGGATGAGGGGATATGAGGGGGAATTAAGAGAGATAGCTTAATGGGCATGCACATACCATTAAACAAAAGGTGTAAGTTCTAGTGCTCAACTGCAGAGTAGGATTAATAACAATGTAGTGTATGTTTATATATACACACACAATGTACACATACAATATAATGTGTGTGTGTATGTGTGTGTGTATATATATACATATATATGTATAGTATATATACAAATGGAAGTATTTGGATAATGTATGTGTGTATATATATCTCATAAATAGATTATCTCTATACAATATAATATATATACACATACATACATACATGCAAGTGCTGGCAAATATGTAACAAAATTAAAACCCTCATGCACTTTTAGTAGGAATGTAAAAGGGTACAGTCACTGGGGAAAACCATATGGTGGTTCCTCAAAAAAATAAAAATAGGATTACCATATGATCCATCTGTTCCACTTTGGGTATATACCCAAAAGGAATTAAAAGGAAGGGCTTGAGGAGATACTTGTACACTCCTATTTATAGTAGGATTATACACAATAGCTAAGATATGGAAGCAACACAAATGCCAATTGATGGATGAATGGAGAAGCAAAATGTGCTATATTCATAAAATGGAATATTAGTCTAAAAAGGAATGGAATTCTTCAATGTGCTATAGTATGGATGAGCATTGAGGACATTATGCTAAGTGAAACAAGTCTGTTATAAAAAGACAAATATTTCTATAATTCCACTTACATGAGGAACTTTGAGTACTGAAAATCATAGAGACCAAAAGTAGAATGTGGGTTGCCAGGTCTTTGACAGAGGGGCAAATAGGGAATTATTGTTTGGTGTGTACAGAATTTCAGTTTGGGAAGATGAAAAAGCTCAGATGAATTGTGGTGACGGGTGCACAACGTGAATGTACTCAATGCGTCCAAACTGTACACTTAAAAATGGTTAAAACAGTACATTTTATGTTATGTAGATTTTACCAAAATAAATAATAAAATTTTCTGTTTTTGAAAATACTTTGTGGGAGAATGTATCCCACAGAGTGGAAGAAAATATCTTTAAAACATATATTGACGATGACTTGAATCTAGAATACATTACCTCTCAATTTCATGATGCATTTACAATATTTTTTCCTTTCTGTTTTCCCTTAAAACAGTATACTAATATTTTTGAAACACACGGTGAAGGCATGTAAGTGCCTGAGTTGGGATCCTGGCTCTGCCATTATTTAGCTAAGTCATCTTGGATAAGATATTTAGCTTCCTTCTGTACCAGAATTTGTCACCTGTAACATCTCTTTCACTAAAGATTGAATATACTAATCTGTATAAAATTCTTAGCACACGTAATAAGCATGTAATATATATTAACTAATATCAAATCACTTTGCTCCTTTTCTTCTGGCAAAAGTGGATGTGCTATTTAGTCTACAGTTATTATTCACTGACTGAGGTATGGACATTTTTGGAGTAAAATACAAAAAACACTTTAACTTTAATTTGGTTTAAGGTCATTTGTGTCTTCATTTCACAGGAGAAAATTATTGAAAAAAATCCTCTGAAGAGTCCAGCCCTACTTTATAACTTGTGATTTTTGGCTATAGCTCCAGCTTATGAAGAAGAATGACTGACTGATTATTGCCTTGCATATGTCATTTCCATAGGGACTTCAAAGATAAAGCTGAGGGCACATGTCAACGATGTTGAGTTCAGCTATCACAACATTTTCAAAACTACCGTTTCCATTTTACCAAAAAGGAAAAGAATCAGTTTCAGGTGTCGATGCAGACCATGAAATTTAGCAAACTGTGTGTCAACATGTGAATAATTTTGAGAAGAGTGTCTTTTGATTTACATTGGATATCTGAAAAAAATACCTATGACCTAAAACGTTTACGATATACTGAATTATTATCCCTTCTGGACTAAAAGTATGGTAAAAATCAGCATAATTTATTTGATCCTGTGATGTCCGATATTTGACAAAAATAAAGCTATCAACTAAAAGAAATATTTTCTTTTCCTAGGGGCAGAAGTATCAGAAGTTTGTAGCATTAAGCTCACAAACTTTAGGGGGCTGGATTCCAAATCCCAGGACATGAGGTCCAAGTACGTAGTGTTCCAGTAGTTCAAACAAGTATCATTGCCCTTTGGCTAAATATCTTGCCAGAGAATGGGCATTTAGAAAAGGAGACACTTTCAGCAAGTTCCCATCCTTTTAATCCACGTACCTCTGTTTCTGTGATGCAAAGTGATAGTGAGTCCAATGATTACACACATTGAAGAGAAAACTATCCCAATGCCTATCAGGCAGGGAGAATTCCAGTCACAGCACCTACCTGAAGAAGAAGAGATATTGTAATTATTAGTTATTGGTGTGGAGGCACTTTATATTGGGGCACAATGTGTCAAGAAATCAAGAGGTATGTTTTGATGCCACCCCCCTGAATTCATTTAGATTTGGGATAAGGCTTAGGTCTAAAGATCAGAGAGCTGTGGGTGACAGAGACAAGAAGAATGGCTGTTTCTAGGATGGGACAGGTTTGGGTTGAGGCTAAACAGGTCTGGAGGAACACAAATCCTTCTTTCTCTCCATCTAGAACGTCAATAAATGGGCTTCATTAGAGCACTAGATAGAGTTACGCTCCGATTGTTATCATTTTACCTGGGCTTGAAAGAGGCTGGGAGTCCAATAGTTCTGGAGACCTGTGAACTGCCTAAAAGATCATATGAGCTTTGGATATACGAATCTCATGAGTAAAAGTGTTTTCAACAAAATAATATTAAAAATCTTCTTTAGCACATGTAACAGCAACATCACTTGGCTATCTAGTCTGTCCATAAAATAGCCTATGATGTGGTGCTTACTACCACAGGTGATGCCATTCCACCACTGGAGTGTTATAGGCACACTGGAACTTAGTGGTTAAAATATGGAATACAGTGTCCATGTGGCTTATAATCGATCTTGTTTCCTACAATTACAAGCTGTGTGATTTTAGGTGCAATAGTTAACTTTGGTGTGTTTATTTTCATAATGTAGAAATTGGAGGCATAATAAAATTTAATTCAAAGTGTATTATGGAAGTTAAATGCACTAATTTCTGTGTATCTGTTGGTGTGGAGTTTTTCAGTAGTAAAAATACAACAAATGTTAGCCTCTAATGATGATGTAATAATTGCTATTATAAAACTAATTCTGCATCCTTAAAAATGATTTATTCCAACTGATTCACCAACACCTTTTAAATAAAGTTGAAGAGATTTTCAGAAACTCAAATTATGCCCATGAGAAACAGTTGAATAACCGGGCACACTCAGTTTGGCAAAGGTCAATTTAGAGATGCTCCTGACTACTAATCGCTGAAGAGCTATCTGGGAAATGTCAGTTGTTACACATATGACCTTAAAATGTTCAATAAACTGTAAGATACACAGAAGCAGGTCAGTATTAAATAAAGACAAGCATTAAAAGATGTATTGAAGTAGGAACATTAGGAAAAACAAATCTCTAAAAACTTGGATAGTGTAAATAAGCCGATAGAAGCTACAACAGAGTTTATTTTGCAGAACAGCAGCTAGCACGGGTGAATGTTGGGAACTGGTGGCTTTCTGGTGGAGTGGTGTCTTCCCCAACCACAGTGGTGGAAAATGGCAGTTCTGAGGGTCAGATAACAGAGTTCAGGCCAGAAGAGCAGCTGGAAATGTAAAGGGAAAATCCAAGAAGTGGAGAGACGTGCAGCAGGACCAAGACCCAAATCCTTCACTGACAGCAGAACTACCCATGGTGGGAGAAGGACCGGGGACCTGGTGAAAAGCAGGAGGAGACCTCAGGAGACTCTACTCTTCAAACACAGAGCTCTGCCAGAAGAGATCTGAGAGTCTGAAGCTTCTTAAATTAAATTTTCTTGCTTATCGCACAAGTTCCCCCAATCCCCGCCCCCAACACCATAGTTGACAATGAATGAAAACATTTTGTTTCAGGAAAAGTAAACCACCTGGTGTTGCAGCTAGTGTAACTCTCCCTATGTGGTATATTTTCCTGATGCTGTGCAGTTAAAACTTTATTTTATGCCCTGAAGGGTCATTGGCCCCTTTAAGAATTCAAGTGAGAAATATGTGTAAATTTTGTTAGGTGTTAAATGCTAAAAAGCTTTCCCAGGCTGTTTGAAAATCTGTCACCATAATGAAAATGGGTTTCAACTTGGTTGAGATACAAAAATGTCATACTTTCAGATAACAGCATTGTCAACAGCTCCAGCAGCAAAAGGGAACAGTACATAGGATCAAGGAATGGGTGGAGAGCATATGTATAACATACACCCCAGAGTTCAGAACTTCCTGAGACAGACAGACCTGAGAATTATGGGTCATGCAGCTTTAGCTTCCCCACCCCCATTAGCATCTCTCATCCTTTAAGCCAACTTACGTTGCTCTCTTTGCTGTAGCTCAACACTGGGCATCATAATGAAGAATAGCAGAACAGCCAAGATTGCAACCAGAATCAGTATCCAGACAGAATCCCATGGAAATAGTTTATCTGAAATAGGGAGTCACAAATCTTACCACTTAGGAAACTTGAACCCACCAAACTAGAAATGATGATTCATCCAAAGCATGTTTCTATTTAATACCTATCACCTTTGAATATAAACCAAGTCCAATTTGGGAATTATAATTGAACACATGAAAAATGGGATAGGATCTGGAGTAGGGCAGAGCTGAATGTGAGTTAGTTTGAAGATGGAGCAAAGGTGAGTGAAGGCTGCTGTCCATGTTTTTTGTTTGTTTGTGACAGAATCTCACTATATCGCCAAAGCTGGATTGCAGTGTTGCAATCACTGCTCATTGCATCCTCAACCTCCCTGGCTCAAATGATCCTCTCACATCAGCCTCCTGAGTATCTGAGACTACAGGCACATGCCATCATGCCCAACTAATTTTTTTACTTTTTAATTTCTCGTAGAGACAAAGTCTTGCTACATTGCCTAGGCTGGTTTCAAACTCCTGAGCTCTAGGTATTCTACCCGCTAGACCTTTCAAAGTGCTGGGATTACAGGCACGAGCCATGGCGCCTGGCCTCTTCCGTGCTTTCTGACATTTAGTGAATAGAGATAAAATCTCCCTGAGATGTCTCTATTCCCAGGACTGTAACTCATGTTCAAAGTTTGTGCTCATTATAATTCTTTTAAATCATCATTTTTTAAGTGCATATACTTTTAAAAAACATTTTTCACTAAAGTTGTAAATAAATCAGCAGGACCTCCCCTGGCCCTTACTTTTCCTTTCTTTGTTTTATTCATATATATCCTGCTATGAACTGGGGGGAAGGAAGGTATGTAGTTTAGTCCTCCTTTATCCCCTGTAACTGTTTGTATTGCTGTTTCTGACACAACCATAATATGAAGCTTTTTTTCTGGAAAATCAAACGAGAAAATAAATGCAAAAATGTTTGAATGTAGTAAATTGCTAAAATTGTTAGGGGAGTCATTCCTGTAAGTGATAATATCCCTCTCAGCATGTGGCTCTCACATTAATTTCATAGACATACACAAACACTAGCACATTCATATTTACTTGACAGTTTACAAGACACTGTATTTCAGTCATTTAAGTATCAATTATTTATTGCATTCCTGCTATGTGCTGTGCAATATTTGAAGCACTTGGAGTGTATCAGTGTATAAAACCAACAAAGATTTCTATTTTCAGGTTTTAGAGGGAGACAGATAAGTGACAATAAACATAATAAATTAGTTGTATGCTGGGCTAAATGGTGAAAATAATATGGAAAAAAGAAAAATTAAGTAAGGTAAGGAGAGAAAGAATCAAGTAATTTGGGGGCAGGTGGCATTTTTTTTCAAGCTGGTTTGTCAAATTACTCTTTATTAGGGAAGTTGAATTGAGCAGAGACTGGAAGGACAGAGGGGAAGTTAAAGCATTCTAGGAAGAGGGACCAACTAGAGCTAAGCCTCCAAGGCAGGAGCATGTCTGGCAGGTTTGGGAACAGAAAGGAGGTCTGTGTGACTAGAGTAGAATGGACAAAGGAGGGTGTTAGGATATGAGGTCAGATAGGTAATGGGCACAGAGATAATGCAGGACATTGAAGGGCATTTTACTGTGAAAAACGAAGGGGAGAAATTGCAGGGTCTTGAACAGAGGGTTCCTATTTATATGATGAGGATGTAGCATAGTAGACAAGAGTAGAAATAAGAGGACATTTAGGATGCTATTACCAAAGTTCAGACCATGGGTGATGGTGTCTCAGACTTGGATAGCAGTAGTAAGTTGGTGAGAAGTGATGATATGCTGGGTATATTTTAAAGGTAGAGCTAACAATATTTCTTATTAGATGTGATGCAGAATATGAGAGAAAAATTAGTGTCAAGGATGAATTCAATAATTTTGTTCTGAGAAACTGAAAATATAAGGTGTGATTGGTCTGGTCAGGCATGGTGGCTCATACCTGTAATCCCTGCACTTTGGGAGGCTGAGGGGGACTGATCACGAGGTCAGGAGTTGGAGACCAGCCTGATCAAAATCGTGAAACCCCATCTCTAATAAAAATACAAAAATGAGCCAGGCGTGGTGGCACACACCTGTAATCCCAGCTAGTCAGGATGCTGAGGCAGGAGAATCGCTTGAACCCAGGAAGTTGAGGTTGCAGTGAGCCGAGATCGTGCCATTGCACTCCAGCCTGGGTGACAGAGTGAGACTCTGTCTCAAAAAAACAAAAAGTGTGACTGGAAAGACATTAATTAAGCAAATTGGCAGGTAATCAGGAGTTAATTTTATGATGTGTTTGGTTCAGGATATTTATTAGACTTCTATGTTGAGATGTTGAGTTCGAAGATGAAAACAGAGTTTGGAGAGAGGTCTGGGCAGGAAATACTATTGGAGGAGCCATAGTCACATTGATGGTATTCAAAGTCTTGAGACAGAATGAACTCACATCAGAGGAAAGGCTCAAAAAACTAAATCTGGGAAACAGAAAACCAAATATTACATGTTCTCACTTATGAGTGGGAGCTAAATGATAAGAACACAGGGACACGTACAGGGGAACAACACACACTGGGGCCTGTTGGAGAGTGGAGGGTCGGAAGAGCGAGAGAACAAGAAAAATAATTAATGGGCACTAGGCTTAATACTTGGGTGACAAAATAATCTGTATGACAAACCTCCATGGCATAAGTGTACCTATATAACAAACCTCAACATGTACCCCTAAACTTAAAATAGAAGTTAAAAAACAAAACAAAAACTATGTCCTGGGAACCTGAATAGCAAGAAGACAGAGAGAAAAGAAAAAGACTGTAACAAAAAGAACAAGAAAGAAAACAAGCAAGAAGACAATTAATAAAACCAAGAGAAAGTAATGTCTTGGAAACCAAGGGAAGAAAGTATGCATATGATTTTTTCCTCTTTAATTTACAAATTTTATGGCAATGGCCATCATTTGAAGAACAAACACTCAGATCGCACCTGATAAGACAATGCTTGTCCTTTCCTCTTGACCAGTTACAGGATTTCGAAGGTAGCAAGTGATGTTGCCATGGGAGCTATCACTAAGGAGAAGGCTCATCTTCATGTTGAACAATTTGTTTCCATCCTGTGAATGGGATTTTGATGAAGGTGGAATGATCTCTCCTCTGCTATCTCTCCATTCCATTTGAGGCTGTGGGAACCAACCTTCTGAATTACACTCCACTAAAAGACCTTTGGTATTCGGAGGATGAATAAGAATTTGTATTTCTAAACTTGTAGCTAGTTGGAAAACAAAAAGGGAGAAACTATATTTAGGGGAAGAGAAGAAAACAGAGAACAGAGGGGAAAAGACTTCCTGCCCCCTTTCATCCCTGTGTCCTTAGATATTGATAGCTAAACTCTATGGGGCTGATTGTCATGACAAGCCATTCAAAAAGGAACAGGGATAAGCCATACTGAAGTGTTGTGATAAGCATATTAACAACATAGTCCAAAGTAAGTGAGGTGAGAAAATGCCTGTTTTTTCATTTATTCTTTCACTCAAAATGTGGGCTATTAACTAAATTCACATAACTCGACTAGGTCCTTGGATTATGATATACAAAAAAATCAAGATCTCAGTCCTCATAGAACTTATGGCTTAATGTTTTTTCTTTTATCTTCACTATTAGCCACTTCTGAGCCACCATAACAAATTACAAATAATAAACAACATTATAAATGCACATTTGCAACTTTAATTAAAACTTTAACTTTTATGTATTTTGCATACAATAGGTATTTTTACATGCAATATGTTTTACTTAAAAATACGTAATACATTAGTGTTTTCAAAATATGATACATACCACTTTAGAGAAAATAGATAAGGCTTTAGAGAAAATAGATAAGAAAAAAGAAATTTTCAGGATTTACCTGGGACATAAGTCTTGCCTAATATGTGGGCAAAGAAAGAATGAACAGAGATTTAAACAGTGACTCTAGAGTAGCTCTGTCTAATAAAATTTTCTGCAATAATGGAAATATGTGTGCCCTCTAATACAGTAGCTGCTTGCCACATGAGATGACTAAACACCTGAAATGTGGCCATTGAGACTGAAAAACTGAATGCTTAATTTTATTTAATTTTCATATGAATTTAAATGGCCACATGTGGCTAATATATATCATATTGGATAGCTCAGCTGTAGACTATAGAATTGAGTGTCACATAATATCCAGTAAAGATGTTAAGTGTGAGTGCCCTGTATCCCTCCACATGTGTCCTCACATTTGTGAAGCCCTTGGTTTGCTTCAAGTCCTCCATCTCCCCTCCATTTCTCTGTCATTCAGAATACTTCAAGTGTGAGGTGATTTGCTTAAATGCTTTGTACTTGCAAACAGCACCTATACAGTATATATATTGTAGAATTTTGAAGATAGTGGGTGAAGGCTTTTTGAAACATATTTAGAAAAGTGAATCTGTAACTAGGTAATCAGTGAATTGATTCAGGGAGAAATCAGAATAAGAATTACCATTAAGGAGTCTATTGTAAAGATTCAGGTACTTTCAAAAGTCAAGTTTTACTAAAGTGATGCCAGAAATAGCTAGAAGGATTATAACGAATTTTAAAAGGATTCTGTTAATTTTTTAGCCATCTAACAATATATGTAGACGTAAAAAAGCAGACAGTATTTACTGATAGTTTTGATGTCTGCACAGACATAATTCTCATTCTTGATCCTCCACTCCTTTCAATTCAAACACTAAACTCATGAATTTGACCTTGTTAACCAGACCATAAAAGAGAAAAGTAGAAATAGTGAGAATTTTCCTAATACTCAGCCTCATACGGGTTGAGAATCTTGGATGCATAGAAAACTCACAGGGATCCATCCTTACCTGTGACCTTCACTTCTGCGATGGCCTCTTCAAAGACATCTCCATCTTTGAAGAAGCAGTGGTACTGCCCGTCATCATCAGCACTGATATTAAGGATCCTGAGGGTCACTTTACCTTCTCCAATGGCTTCTTTCAGGAGCTTTGTCCGCTCCACATACTTGGAGATAGTTTCTCCGTACAGGTCTTTACCCTCCTTATACAGGTAAACAGGTCGTGTGTAGTGACTCCGGAACCAGCGTATCTCCATGTGTTCTGCGCTTTGTGGTGGAGACAGCTGGCAACTGAGCTCAACATTCCCACCCAGTGCAGCCAAGACTGGCTTCTCTAAGCTATTCACTGTGAATTGCTCTGGGAAGGGAGACAGCAACCAAAGGGTGAGAGGTGGACTGAGACAAAATTTTCATTTGAATTATTATATCACACATACATATAGACACACCCACCCCCCCACACACACACACTTTATTAAGAGTAAATTCTTTTGTTTCCCTTTTCCTTGAAAACACCTTTACTTTGCACTTTGTTTGAATGGAAATTCATGAAATTATTTCCTTTAAGGAATATGGGTCAGGCGCAGTGGCTCACGCCTGTAATCCCAGCACTTTGGGAGGCCGAGGCAGGCGGATCAAGAGGTCAGGAGTTCAAGACCAGCATGACCAACATGGTGAAACCCATCTCTACTAAAAAATACAAAAATTAGTCAGGCTTGGTGGCACAGGCCTTTAATTCGAGCTACTCAGGAGGCTGAGGCAGGAGAATCGCTTGAACTCAGGAGGCAGAAGTTGCAGTGAGCTGAGATCTCGCCATGGCACTCCAGCCTGGGCGACAGAGTGAGACTCTGTCTCAAAAAAAAAAAAAAAAAAAGGAAATATGAAAAATGGTTTCCATTTCTGTTAAAATAAAAAAAAATTACTACCACCAGTATAATAATTGCTCCTCTTCATTCTATTGTTTCATTTACTCTAAACATACTTTCAGGCAGTTCTTAAAATTTACTCCATTTTAACTATAATGAATCCATGTATGAATGCATTTATCTTTTTTGGCTCTTTCATACTGCTTCTTGAATTGGATGATTCTTGTCTTTCTTAAATTCTGGAAAATTCTCACACATTCTATGTTTAATTTGACCTCTCTAATTCTTCGCAATCTCTTATTATGGAAGTACTGTGCTTAACACATTGCATCTCTCTATTTTCTTAGATTTTACTAGCAAGATGTCTTAAACTATCACCACCTGACCCTGCAAATGTCCACAGGTTAGGATGTTTCATTTGTTGTTTTCTGCTTGTGATGCCACTTGGCTGTAACAGATGTTCTTTCAGTGTTGAGGCTCAGAAACTCTCAAAGTTGATATTTAGTCCCTGACTACAATAAGGTGTGGGAAGAGGGGACATTTCAGACTCTCTATTTTGGTCCCTTGCCCCACTCATTGAGGAAAGTGAAACCATTTTTGCAAAATTATGACTGAGTCAGTGAAAGACATCTAACGTAACTGCCTCCATCTTTCTTCTAACCCCCAAGTTGTTCTTGTTTATTCCTGGACGTAGGCTGAGCTAACTTTGGGAGAAACTTCTTTATAGTTTATAGTTTAAAAGTAAGATGATAACAGTCCTTTCTCAAAGCAGGTCTCCTTCTTGCCTGGGGACTAGATTGCCTCTGTAGGACTAACATTAGTCACAAGATTAGAAATTAAGGTTAAAGAGTCATGCAGCTGGAAGCTACAACATTCTGACCCTCCCTACACTGCTCCTAGGATCAGTGCTTGAGATATTTTGCAGACTCTGCAAATTTTAGTGCCTTAATCAATTAAACTCCAATTACATATTTAAAACATTGATTATTTTGAGTGTTTTAAATGCATATGTAACAGGTAAAATATCACATATATAGTGATTACAAGCTAATTGTCACATTTACCTTTATATCTATTTTAAAATAATAATAATAATGCAAGGTAAAATCATTTCATTGTTATTCCATACCAGTTTTTATATCTAACTAGACATATAATTGATATATTCTTAAGGTTGTATAATACATATTTTATCAAATTTTCAGGTTTACAACAATCTTAGAGAAAATAAAGAAAAAGAAAGAAAAACTTTCAAAGGCGTAATGGGAAATATTAGAACATTTTATGTTAATATCAACAATACAGCACACATAACTTGATATAACAACTTGAGATCATGAAAATAAAAATACCTTTGAAATACTTCATAAAAGAAAATGTTTGTAAACTTTTTATAGAAAAATTATATTAAAAAAACACTGAGCACAGAATATCTCTACAAGATATTTAAATTAGTTATATAAATACTATATATTTTTTAAGAGTTCTGTAATTAACCCATGAGAAGAAAGTTCAATGAGACAGAGTTTGGAGATGCAAATCCTTAGAGGAGTTTGGTTTATGACAAAGATAACGTCTAGGGTATCTGAAGAAAGATTGATTACTTAATAAATAAAAAAAACCTAGGTATTTAAAAAAATGATGTCAGATTTTAATCTCAATTTTTATATAAGAAATCATTTTGCATGGGTTAGTTTCAAAATATAAAATAAATAGAAAAAGTTGTTATTATAAACTTGATGCGTGGTCTGAAAAACTCTGACTAAGCAAACATAGGATTCGGACACTATGAGAAGAAGAAACAGCTGAGAAGCACCACATAAAAATAAGTCAGTAAATTGAATTTCAAACTGATCAAGAATGTATAGAAAAGGTACAACAGATCAAATATTAATTCATTATTTTCAAATTTTGATTCATTAAAATTAAAAATGTCTGCTCTGCAAAAGCTTTTGTTAAGAGAAGAAAAAGACAAGCCACAGACTGAAAAAAATTGCAAAAGACATAGCTTATGAAGGACTTGTGTGCAGAATGTAAAAATTAACAGTAGAAAAACAAACAACACAATTAAAAATAGACAAAATATCTGAACAGATACTTGATCAAAGAAGATACATAGATGGCAAATTAAGATATCAAAATGCTCAAAATCATACATAATTTAGGAATTGCAATTTGAAACAATGAGATACTAACCTAAACCTATTATAAGAATGGCTGAAATCCAAAATGCAAACAAGGATGTGAAGAACAAGAACTCTCATTCATTGCTGGTGGGAGTGCAAAATGGTATAGGAACTTTGGAAGACAGTTTGATAATTTCTTACAAAGCTAAATATAAGATTACTATAGAATCTAGAAATTGTGATCCTAACTAAACCCAAATTAGTTGAAAACCATATCCAATGAAAACTTGTATACAAATACTTAAAAACCTTTTCTAATACTTGTTAAAATTGGAAGCAGTCAATATGTGCTTCAGTAAGAGAATGGATAAACAAACTATGGTAAGTCCATACAATGAACTATTACTCAGTGATAGAAATAAATGAGTTATGAAGCTATTAAAAGACACGTGGGAAGATTAAATACATATTACTAAGTGAAATAAGTCAGTCTGAAAAGGGCACATACTGTATGAATCCAACTGTACGACATTCTGAGTCAGACCTATAGAGAGTAAAAAGAGCAGTAATTGGCCAGGTTTCAGGCGACGGGAGGATGAACAGGTGAAGCACAGGACATTTTTATGATGGTGAAATTATGTTGTATGATACTATAATGGTGGATGCATAGCATAATACATTTATATAATGAATTGGAGAATTCCAGAGGCTGATCAAGGTAAAAGATAAGACCATAGGTGGCAGTAGCACACAAAAACTTCTATTTGGACACCACTTGGACAGGGTTGCAAAAAGAGCAGTTCTCACAGGATAAGGCCTTATAGAAGCACAGGGGACCACCATCCAGAATGCAGGAGGACAAAGGCACTCCCAAGGATGGGAGGGGAGATGCTGTGTGTCTAGATAACATCACTTCACAGCATGGTAGGAAGCTGCTGGGTCAGAGGGCTCTGAAGAGCATCAAGCTGCAGTTTATATAACTACAAGATTTTTTTTATGTACAGCTGGCAGATGTTGGGTGCAGTTTCCCAAGGTGTACAAAGCAGGAAGACATAAAATGGCAGAAAAAAAAATCTGCCTGTTTGGGATATATTTACAACAACTGGATGTGAAAACACTTCAGTTTGGCATCCTGGGCTTTTAAGCTAATGAGTCTCACCCTGATTTAAGAAGCAAGCAACAAAGGGCCAATATGCAAAGGACATCGCTGGCTCATTTCTACAACAATTTGTTAAATCTTAGAGAAAGGTACAACACAGAATGTTTAACGTAAACTTGGACTTTAGTTAATAATCATTAATCAATATTGGTTCATTAATTTCCATAAATGTACCACACAAATGAAAGAGGTTAACAAAAGGGGCAACTCTGTGGGAGGGGGGCAGGTAGAGAAGAGGCAGAGGGGTTATGTGGGAACTCTATATACGTTTTGCACAATTTTTCTGTAAACCTAAAACTTCTATAGAAAATAAAGTCTATAATAATTTTTAAAGTCCATGAGGAGAAAAAGGAGAGCGAAATAAATGGAAACTTGGGGGAAATTTTGTAATTCACAAAATAAAATCAAAAATCAAAACCAAACAATTCTGCACATCCAAAATATAATTCACAAGTCCATTGAGTTATAAACTGGTCAAAAATACATGGAAAAGTTAACAGATCAAAAAGCAAATTGTAATGTGTGCAAGTTTAATGCAAAGGAAAGGTGAAGTAAGGCCATTAAGTGGGCAGTTTAGATAAAATGAATACAATTTTTTGAGAGGAAGGAAGGCCACCCTAACTCAATAAAAAGGTAAAATATTATCATTGTGAGTTTCTATTTTTCGTCTGTAAGTTTGGAAAATATAAAAAATCCTGATACCTGTAACATCCACCTGAAAAACTCACATATGCTGTTGGTGGACAGGTACATTGGTAACTATTTTGGAATAATATTTTTAATATAATAAAAACAGCACATAGCCTTGACAAATAGTTCTGTTCTTAGACATATTTCCTACATTCTTACTCATAGATATGCTCAAAATATATGTGCATAATGTTTGTGGCAGCTTTTGTTTTATTAGCCAAAGACTGGACACTACCCAAATATGCATCAGTAAGATTTGTACCATGTAACAAGTAGCTTTTGCCAGAAATTTTAAATCTCGTGTGCCACTTGTTGGTTCAGGCTTTTAATATATTTGTCTCTAAATAAACTATATTTATATCTGCTTTGCACTGATCACCTTCCACTGCAAATTTTCATCATCTATCAAGGTCCCACCAGTCTATTGTGTCTTTGCTTATCTTACTGTACAGATAATTCACATGGATTCCAATATGGACCACAATTTGGGCAACTTCTTCATTGTATAAGATATAAGTAAATCATGTCTCCTCAATACAAATATTGAGTTCTTGAGGGCAAATACTAGGACTTCTTCATTTGTTTGTTTGTTTGTTTTCTCTCTGGAACCTAACACAAATCTGGGTATATGAAAAAGACTTGATGATTAGAAGTAGTTTTTCCTAACCATAAGACAATTCTTACAGTACATGTCCTCATTACATAACTGTATTAAACCTAAGGAACAATGCTCAAGAATTTGTCCCTTTTGTTTGGTCCTTGCTTTTTCTGGCACACTTCATGTTGCCAAGACCCACAAGGGTAAGAGAGAGTCATACCTGAACTTGGTATTGTCATCTGGAGGAGATTCATAACAACAAAGTATCTGGAGAAAGATAGCCCTGCAGTTTCCATTATACCTGTGATAAGAAATTAGGCAGGTTCCGTGAGAACAGGATTAACATCACAAAAATCACGTATCTCCACATCTTCCTGCAGTAATTAACTTTCAAATAGAGTTACCAGAAAAAAAGTAGAACCCCCAGTTAGATTTGAACTTCAGATAGGCAGTGTAAAGTTTTTAGTATAAATACTTCTTGGGCATCATATAATTTTTACTTTCTAAATCTGGTAACTCCACTTTTAAGATGTTTAATATAATGACCAAGTCCAGTCAGAGGCTTCTTTCTCATTAAAGGATTTCTTCCTCCCAGGCTAGACATCATTTGTCTTCTGGTGTTGTAAACTTCATCAGGTGACCCGCTTCTCCAGAGAAAGTGGCAGCAGGTATAGGGAGTAGGTCCTGCTCTCCAAAACCTTAGTAGCCTAAGCATCTGCCACAGTTAGTTACATTTAGGTTCAAAGAAAAATTTAAAGACAAATTTAGCTCTATTATTCTCATGGAATGAATTAAGTAACCACTTTATAAGAGAATATGACTTTCTTTTCTTTAGTTGTGGCAATCTCTCAGAATTTTCTTCTTCTGAAGAACTCACAATTAGAGACAGGTGAATGAGTGTATATGGCCATGGAGAACAAATGGTAAAATACAATATTGCATATTTAGTCTAATGTGAAGGTTTTTCATCAGTTCTGTAATGTTTTGGCTTTTGATTCAGCAGACAAATGTGATGGTTATCTATTTATCCCCAACAAAAAAAGGTTTGCTAGATTCTAGGGTCATAGGCAAGTGAACAGACACTTGGATAGCAACGATAACGTAAAAGTGCCATCCTATGTACGTGGGCAGTTCTTGCAACCTTGGAGAGCAATTCACTCTGCAGTATCATGGCAGGGAGAAGGTTCACAAAATGAAGACTTTACTAGTGAGGTGGTGTCTACTTTTTGAAGAATGAAGTGGTATCTCATACAATATAAAGGGAATGAGGACATACACCAGATTCAATATGCAGAAACCTTACTGAGCAAGGGAAATTGAGGAATATATTTGTCTAGCAAGATTAAGGAGTGAGGCAGAGAGCACACTGTGAAGGGCTTCATATGCCAGGGTAATGAATTTAAGCTTTATCCTCTAGGCTAGGGAACTACTAAGAGGCTAAGAGGTAGTACGCATAGTGGATAAAAGTGAGGTCCTAAAATGGTACTGTCTTTACTATTCAGTTGTATCAGCTTAGGCAAGTTACTATAACACACTCTGTGACTCTGTTTATTCAGCTGTAAGTAAGGAATAATAATTTTTCCTCATTACATCTATTATTGGAATTGATTGAATTTTTGTCTATAAAGTGGTCATAATGATACTATACTATAAAGTATGAGTACTACAAGGAAATTAAGAACGGTAAAGTATTTGTTTACTCATCATTTTTAGTACATTGAAGTTTATTGTTTAAGAGTGATAAAAAGCAGGACTTTGGAACCAGACTCAAATCCTAACTCATAGTTTCCATTAAAACAAAAAAGTCCTCATCGTCCTTAAGTTTTAGTTACTGCTTCCTGCTTCTACTCCCTCAAGCCTAGGGATGGTCACAACCCTTTTATTTTAACTCCAGGATATTGCAATAGGATTTCCATACACCTCGTTCACACATTTGTAAATGATCTTTTATTTGAATGCCCCAAAATATGAGCATTTCAACTGATTTGTATTTATTAGAGCCATGACTGATGCAGGAACTGGTACTGAAAGTGTCTCCCAGAAAGAAACTCTCCAAATATGATTCTGAAATTGGGTTGCTTATGTATTCAAGGAGGCCACAGCTAATGTACAGGATGGGCAATGTATAGGATGCCATGGCACCAAACTTATGCAATTTGCCGATAATTGTGATACAGGTTTAACTGCAAGTGCGAAGTAAGGTACAGAGAAGAAAACGAAGTGACTTGGTTGCTATGGCAAAAACAGTAATTTTAAAGACTATGCAGTCCTCTACCTTCTTCAGACTGCCCTAGAAGATGGACTTAAGGAAAAGGGGAAATATAAAGTTCTAAATGTACAATAGAGAACATGTTTGAAAAACACAGAGGTCTAAATTTCAGCTCCAAAGGAGTCCCTCATCTTCTTCCTAGCCATGAGACATGTAGCAGAAGACTTTTAGTTTTTAGGAACCTAGTAGGTTAGATGGGCACATCTATAAAGGGACAGGCATTCATCTTGAAGGGACAGATACTTACTCTGTTATTGGATCTGATGTCCCTACCAGCAGCACTTCTTCATGCACAACAACTCATACACATACAGAATGCTCTTTCATTCCATGATATCCCATACACTAGCAGTCCCCAACCTTTTTGGTACCAAGGACAGATTTCATGGAAAACAATTTTTCCATGGACTAGGGGAAGGGAGGATTAGTTTGGTGATGTATCAAGTGCATTACATCTATTGTGCAGTTCATTTCTACTATTAAATATTGTAATATATAATGAAATAATTATACAACTCACCATAATGTAGAATCAGTAGGAGCCCTGAGCTGGTTTTCCTGCAACTAGATGGTCCCATCTGGGCATGACAGTGGGAGACAGTGACAGATCATCAGGCATGAGATTCTCATAAAGAGCATGCAACTAGATCCCTCACATCCACAGTTTACAATAGGTTTTGCACTCCTATGAGAATCTAATGCTGCTGCTGATCTGACAGGAGACACAGCTCAGGAGGTAATGTGAGCAATAGGGAGGACCTATAAATACAGATAGAGCTCACTTGCTGGCCCTCCACTCACTTCCTGCCATCTGCCCGATTCCTAACAAGCCATGGAACAGAAACAGTCCATGGCCTGGGGGTGGGGACCCCTGCTATACAACATTGTCTCTCACAAACAGAATCATTTTACAGCAAATGAAGCACAGCAATTGGCTTAACATCATGACATTCCCTAGTCTCACCACATTCCCACAACCCAGATAGAACTGACTTCATAGAACCTCCAATAGGCGCAGGTAGGACATGTGGGATATGCCTTAAACTAGTGGCTAAATAATTGTGCCATTTTTCCTGTGGTAGAATGCATAGGCCTGGAAAGCAAGGAATAGATATGAGAAGTGATACTCTCACTATATGGTTTTATAACCTGCTGGAAGAATTTTGCTTCCCTTCTTGTGTCTTCAACCTCGGTGTGGCTGGAGGTCCCAGGATCTCACAGAAAAATGTTTCCACCATGGAATACAGTTATGAATTAGAAGCTGAGACTGCCCTCTAGCCATTTTGCACTTCCCACATCACTGAACCAACAGTCAGAAAAGGGTGTCATTGGAGAGCTGGAGAGACTAATCCTGAAGCAAAGAGGTGCCTTGATCAATAGTTCTGATCTACATAAACTGAAGCAATTCAAGTAAGGTAGGACAACCAAAGGCTAAGACCCAAAGAAATAAAAATTAAAAGGATCCCATCAGGTTAAGAACCTCATCTAGCTGAGGTGCTGATGAAGACATAGAGAACACAGCATGTGTGGTTGAAGAGGGCACCTACAATTACCCAGTTTAGAGTTTTGTGACCAACAGAGTCTACAAAAGCTGTGTTTTCTGTATTAACTATGGCTTTTTATTTGTTTTGCCAGAGATAACATGAATAACACTGGTGGTGATGGTCTAGGTTTTAGGCAGAAAATACAGTCAAATTAATATTACCCATCAAGATATGGTAGCTTATGGGATTGGGCTATCCTTTGATAAAAATATAAACTTTTCACTGAAGGAAAAGACTAGAGTGTGGGCAAGACTCTTGGTAAGAGGCAGAGGTGGTGGACTGTGCTGGATATCTTCTTTGTCTATCCACATCTACGTGCCACACTTCTCCAAAGGTAATTTGTAAAAACATTGGAATGAAAGCACAATATGAAAATTGGAAATAGGGAATAAAAAGAGTGAAGCAGTTAAAGAAAATGCAGTCTTTTGGAACAAGCTATAGAGAACCCACAGATTTTATTCTCTCAAATGAAAATCCTGATATGATTGGGTACATATTTCTCATTTTACATATGGGTTTTGGAAGCTGTTCAAATGATGATGTTAGTTTTTAACAGGTACAGGATTTCAGACTGGGGAAATGAAAAATTCTGGAGATCAATGGTAGTAATGGTTGCACAACAATGTGAACGCTACAGAATGAAGTATTCAAAATGGTAAAATTTGTAAGTTTATGTTCTGTATATTTTAAAATGTTAAACAAAAAAGGCAAATGTGCCATCAAAGGATTATAAAAGTTAATACAAATCACATTCAACTTGTCAGGAAAGTGAGTCAGATCACAAATGAAGATATGCATGTCTTTAACCCAGTATGGTCACACCAATTTTCCTGATATTATAGAAACAGTGTCCAATTCATCCCTTTTCTGTTGTGTTTTTATTTTAAGTAAAATCAATGTGCTTCTGATATATCCACTTTATCTTTCTAGGGTTCCCCCTAGAAGGCACAAAGAAGAGAGAGGAATAAAAATGAAGACCATCAATGAAGCGAGAACTATGTCCCTAAATCTTACTAAATCTACTCACCTACCTGAGCCAGGTGACCCCAAATCAGTTCTCTGTTGTCCTTACGAATGAGTCTCAGTTGAGTCACATGAATTTCGACAGTGCTCCAGCAGTTTTCTTGTAGCTAGGGCTAGATGTGCCAGAGTCAGATGGGGATCAGGCAAACTGCCTAGCAAAGCCCCTTCCTCTGCTGTCAGACTCAGGGAATCTGAGTCTGTCAGCCAGAATCTTATGTTCCAGTCCAAGGGAAATTCCCAGGGGACTGGCTGCTTCAACCTGTGGATAGAACTCTTTGTTCAGCTTCAGTGATCACACCTAGCAGTATGCAAGTACTAACATGACACATGTCATTCTGAAGGAAAGCAATATGTAATCTGATGTACATATTTTATGTAATTGGTGCTGAACAAAGTGGCTGTGATTAGTTTATTTTGAATGCTGTACCCATACCTAAAAAGGAAAGGAGGGAAGCTGTGGAAGCACAAATAAAAGGCACTAAATTCAGATTAAGCATTTAGGGAAGGCTTTAGGAAGGTGATAATGGCTAAGAGGAGTTTGAAATAAAATTACCCGCTAAGCCCACTTAAGGAAGGGATCAGAGTAGTCTTTCCAGGCTGGGGAAGCAGCACCTTGAAAGACACAGGAGAGAAGATGGTGAACTCAGAAATTTTCATGCAGTTTACTGTGGCTGGAATGGTAGTTAGGATGGGAAGGAAGGATGAGAGGTGAGTTGAAGAGATAAACAGAAGTAAAATTATGAAGAGTGTAATTTCAAGAAATATATCTCATATATATTATTTCTTAAGTCTCATATATGAAAGTAACTATAGATAATATAGGTTATATAATGCATAAGTACATATATGTACGTATATAAGTAAATGTATAAAATGTACATGTATGCACGTATATGTACATATTTATAAATGGTTACACATGTTTATGCATATGTTTACATATATGTTCATATACATAAGTTTATATGTACACATGTATATATATTTACACAGCACATGTGTATGTGTAAATTATCATCCATGTATATATGTACAGTTATCCCTTGGTATACTCAGGTGATTCATTCCATGATCCATGAGGATACCAAAATTCAAGGACACTCAAGTCCCTTTTGTAAAATAGCATAATGTTTGCATAGAACCTGCACACATCCTCCTATGTATGTTAAGTTATCTCTAGATTAGTTGCTATACCTAAATTGAAATAAAATACTTTGTAAATACTTGCTATACTTTATTAGTTTTTATTTGTTTTTTATTGTATTGTATTTTTTGTATGTCTTTAACTTTTATTTTAGGTTCAGATATATATGTAAAGGTTTGTTATATAGATAATCTGCATGTCATGATGTACCTCAACCTTAACCTCACATCTTAAACAAAATTTAATATGAGATGGAAATCTAAATGTAAAAATTAAAGTATGATGTATAAACCATAGACGAATATTTACAAAACATGAGGTAGGCAAAAATTGGGCCAAGATACAAAAACTAGTAACTACAAAGAAAAAAAAATTATGAATCGAATTTCATCAAAATTAAAAACTTCTTATTAAAAACACCATTAAGAATATAGTAAGGCAAGAGAGACCATGGGAATATGTGGGCATCTTAAACACCTAACAAAGGGCTGATATCCAGAATATATAAAGAACTCCTACACCTCAATATAGATTTTGAAAAAAAAACAATTTTAATGGGGGTAAAAGACTTAGACACTTTACGAAAGAAGATAGAGCCAGTAAGTACAATAAAAGTGCTCAACACACTAGCTGTTAGAGAAATATAAGGAAAAACTGCAATGAGATTTCACTTCAGAAACACTAAAAGAGCTGAAATTTTAAAACTGATGACACTAAATGTTGGCAAGGATGAGGATAACTGGAACTCTTGAGAGACAGCACTAGCAGGACTAGCAGGCCAAGAATCCCAGGTCAGAGAACACAAGGCTTGACAGCATCTTGGAAGCAGCCTGCAGCTATCTTCGAAGTGGCCCGCCACCATCTTGGGAGCTCTGAAAGCGAGGACCCCCTGTAACATTTTGGTGACCACAAAGGGACCTCCAAAGCAGTGACTAATATTGGACCACTTTCACTTGATATTCTGTCCCATCCTTCCTTAGAATTGGAGGAAAATACTGGGCACCTGTCAGCCAGTTAAAAATGATTAGCATTGCTGCCAGACTTAAGACTCAGGTGGGAGGCTATCTGCGGAAGGGCTTTCAAGCCATCCCCAATCCTTCTGGGTTGGCAGCATTAGTCAGCCTAGAACCAGCTTCCACTTTCAATTTTCTTGGGGAAGCTGAGGGCCGACTAAAGAAAGAAAGTTGTCATCCCAAACTCCTGGCATTAGCCAGTTGAGATCATGGCACAGCCAGAAGTCTCTGGTGTGCCAACAGTCACCCATGCGTGCACCCCTACCTTTCCTTCTGACCCATACCTCCTGGGTCCCAACCATGACTTTCTTGAAAATGTAGCCCCAAAATTCTCCTTACCTCTGAATCTACTTCCTCTGATCCCTGCCTTGTAGGTACCAATGGTTCAGATTTTCATTTCCTCTAGCAAGTTGTATCTTGAAAGGGATCTAAGGAAGCTCCACGCGGGGTACTTAGGCATCTAGGCTATAAACCCAGGGAGTCTTATCCCTGGTGTCCCTCCCAATTTAGGTATACAGCTCTCAACATGGGCAGCTATATGGGACCCATTCCCCACCACCCTTACCAGGGCCTCAAGTTTTAATGGCTAAGAGGAAGAGAGAGAGAGAGACATGAAGGAGAGAGACAGAGATGGAGGAGAGAGAGACAGAGGAGGGAGAGAGAGACAGAGAAGAGACAGAGAGACAGAGGAGAGAGAGAGATGGAGTGTAATGCCCAGACCGTTTGTTCCCCAAAGAAGACCACCAGAGTCCAGAGTCAAAGCCAAGCGGCAAGGATCTTTTACTGCAAGTTCGAACTTGGTCCCTCCATTCTACAGCATACAAGAGGGCCCCGAACAATGCGAGTGCTTGCCTTTTATAGCCCGATGTAAATAGGATACGTAAAGTTACAGAGGAACAAGGGAATTCTTTTGGTTACAGCATTACAATTGGTTTACATTTTAAGTTATACATTTAGTAGTTTTTCTATTGGTTCCCGCGCTTTCAGTAAAACCACAAACGGCTGTGTCCTTATCAGGGATTTTCCAGGTGGTGTTTGTACTGGGCTCAGGAAATTGAGAGATATATGGTGGGATGTGTTTGTACTGGGCTCAGGAAGTTGAGAGATATATGGTGTTTGTACTGGGCTCAGGAAATTGAGAGATATATGGTGGGATGTGTTTGTACTGGGCTCAGGAAGTTGAGAGATATATGATGGGATGTGTTTGTACTGGGCTCAGGAAGTTGAGGGATATATGGTGGGATGTGTTTGTACTGGGCCTGTTTGTGTTGAGCCCAGGGCTGAGGAATGTGCCTGATTTCTTTCATTCCCCCCTTTTCTTAGGTACCTCTAGAGCCAATCTTGGGTCTTATAAGTCTGATTCTGTTTCAGCGTTTACAGGTTGGTATTGGACTCTGAGGACCATGAGCTGTATGGTGTCAAACCTTTCCCTGACAAACTATAAAATTCTGTTAACAACACAAGGTCCTACGGTAAACAGAAATAGTAGACTCAGCAGGGGTCCAAGGAAGGGGGCTAACAGGAAAAACACAGAGGAATTCCACCATTGGTCTGCAGCTGAAGCAAACTGCCATGTTTTTACTTCTGTGCTTAACTTGCGTAACTGTTGGACCTGGTTCTCTACAAGCCCTGATTCATTTATGTAGAAACAACAGTCTTCCTTTAGAAACATACATGTACCACCTTTTTAAGCAGTGAGTAGGTCTAGGGCCCTCCGGTTCTGCAAGGTTACCTGAGCTAGGGACGTGAGCTGTCGCTGAAGGGAGGCAAGGGACTCAGCCGACTCCTCCATAGCAACAGCAAATTGTTGGTATAACTTGTTGCTTTCTATGAGGGTGTGACCTAGGGCTCCCCCCACCAGTCCGGCCGCAATGAGGGATGAGGTGAGGGAGATTCCTGCAATGAGGGGGAGAAATATGACTCGTGCAGGTCTCGGTCTAGGGACTGGGTGAATAGCAGTACTAGTCCAGTTACCAGTGTACCCCAGGAACTTGCCGGCAGTTAGTAGAGTCAACCGGGGAACTAATGTGACAGGAAGACACAGTAGGTTGGTAACAGAGGGACCAGATAGGTTCTTAGATAATGTTCCATTACACCAGAAGAATATGCCCGGCGGAGCCCTTAGGGTGGTACTAGGGGGCGTTGCAGTGATGTTGCAGAGGCTGGAATTAGTTCCTGAGAAACAATAGGGGAACTTCTCCTGACTGGGGTTTAGGTATAGTGGCACGTTAGGGATGGGGCATATGAGAGGTTTCGGAGGTTGTTAGCTTGGGCAGAGGTAGAGGATCCCCATGGCAGAGGGACAGCGGTTAGCGGTGGACGCCCTAGGGTGGCACACAGAAAGCAACCAGACAAGCTGTGAAGTCCTGTAAGGTTAGCAAGCTCTAGTCCTTCTTGTAATAATTTTAACCAGGAGAAAGGACGTAAATCTTGTGTTAGTCTGTTTTCTTGTTGTTGGATATTCCCATGGACCAGGGGCCGTACCTGCACTAGACCTCACCACAGATAGAGGTGACTGCTAGGCCATGTGGAGGAGGAGGAGTAGTATACAGCCCCATGTTGAGGCGTGGTCCAGCGGGAGTTCCAGGGAGTCTTTGACTATCCATGTATATGAAAAGTCCCCGTCCCGTCTACGATGGAAGGGCCACTTAGGATCTAACTATTCTTCCTCACCCCAATAATGGGATCTATGGATGTTACAATAGTTATAAGGGCAGCCGGCATTTTGGTGCCACCAATAGTGTTTACAATTGTATTTAGTCTGATCAAACTCAAAGCATATTATTGGTGCCATTGGTTTGGCTATTTGAAAACCAGTAAAATTTAGTAAAATTGGGCTATTGCACCCTGAGGAGGGGCAATCAGCACTGGCCAATAATTTCCCGGGCTTATGAGGTTGTCCAG